AACAACAACAAATGAACAAAGAAAAAGAGACAAACAAAAAAACAGACTCTTAACTACAGGGAACAAACTGGTGTTGCCAGAGCAGGGAGGGGGTAGGATGGGTGAAATAGGTGGAGAGGATTGAAAGTACACTTATGGAGGGGCACCTGGGTGGCTCAGTCAGTTAAGGGTCTGCCTTTGGCTCAAGTCATGATCCCAGGATCCTGGGATTGAGTCCTGCATTGGGCTCCTTGCTCAGAAGGAAGCCTGCTTCTCCCTCTGTCTGCCACTCCCCCTCTTTGTGCTCAGTCTCTCTCTCCCTGACAAGTAAATAAGTAAAATCTTTAAAAAAAAAAAAGTACACTTATGGTGATGAGCCCTGAGTAATGTATAAAGTGTTCAATCACTATATTGTACACCTGCTACTAATATAACACTGTATGTTAATTATACTTTATTTTAAAAGTTAATTAACTTTTTAAAAGAAGTATGAAATACAATAAAACCTAGCTCTTTAAAGATTTTTATTTATTTAGAGTGGGGGTGGGGCAGAAGCCCAAGCAGACTCCACAATGAGCATGGAGCTGGAACAGGGCTTGATCCCATGACCTAAGCCGAAATCAAGAGCCAGATGCTCAACCAACTGAGCCACCCAGGCACCTGTATTAAATTAATTTTTTTAAATGTCAGTAAAATTTGTATTGAATATAAATACTTGCTGACATAGAAAGACATTCATGATGCATTCTAATGCCATCCATTCCAGAGTATTAGAGTGGTTAACTGTGTGATGGAATTATTGGTGACCGATTTTGTTTGTTTCTCTATTGTCTACATTTTCTACATTCAATACAATAATTGAGCAACTGGAAAATGGGAAAAATTACTTTTAACAAAGATGAACTTTTTTATTTAACAATAAATTGGGCAACGAAAGGAAGGGGTGTGAGAGAGAACACTGCCCCCCAACTTTTGCAATTAACTGGGTGTGTTCATTTGTATTGGCAAAGGTGGGGGACAGGCGAGCAGGTTGACAATGGCTCTATGACAGGTTGCAATTCCACTTTGAGGCAGTACTGTAATAAAATGTAGTCTATGTGTGTTCATTATTTTGCATAACGCATAATGCCCAAGCATGGGTTTGGTTATGGTTTCAGGGACTTTCATAAGCGTTTTTTGCGACCTCTACTGGACATGGCTGGTAAAGCCTAAACTTCCTTCAGGGAAGTGGTCCATTTTCTCCATAACTGTGTTTTGTGAAGATACAGGGGAGAGGAGGGAAGATTGTTACCAAACCCAACTGTACTTTCCTTTAACTAGATATACGAATGACCTATACCAAGTTCACAATTGAAGATAACACCCTGATAAGGAAGAGGAACTAAAGAGAGCTTCCTCTAGCCTCTTCCAACTGAGATCCTATAATTCTTTGAAATGACAAAGAATCTTGCTCAGAAGCACAAATGACTTGAGATTTCTAAGAAGAAGAAGAGGAACAACAACAACAAGAATCCTGGTCAAGAAAATAAAAACAGAAAGGGAGAGAGAATAGAACAAAATAGTTCCAAATTTTATCTTGAAGACCAAACATGCCAAACAGCCATGATGTTTTTTGGAAAGCAAAGTGAATTTGACCAAATATAAAAATATGTAATAAAGTCACGATAATTAAAACAGTGTAGCACTGGTTTCAGATCAGGGAGAACATGGGAATGGAATAAAATGCTAAAAAATATTACGTGGGAATTTAGCGTATGATAAAATCACATATTTTTTTAAGATTGTATTTATTTATTTATTTATTTATTTATTTAGAGAGCATGCATTAGAGAGAGAATCTTAAACAGGTTCCACGCTCAACACGGAGCCTGATGCAGGGATCCATTTCATGACCCTGAAATCATGACCTGAGCTGAAATCAAGAGTCCAACGCTTCACTGACTGAGCCACCCAGGCGCCCCATAAAATCACATATTAA